AAATTAACACGGCAAAAATATCTCAATTCTTGCGCTGGGAGAATGAAGCGATAAAAGAGCAAGACGGCTGATGGCACATGTAAAAAACGCAACAGCTAGGCCCTGCGTCAGCTAAACGCTTTGTATGTGCCACGTGGATTGTGTAAGTGCCTTGTATCTCAAAAACCCATCTCAAGAGGGTTTAGGTATCCATGCAATTGAAAGTATATCAGTAAAACTACATTCTCGAGACTTGCTTTCATTACTTAAAAAGATAAAAAAAATATGGGTGGGTGGGTGAGTGGGAGGTGGAAAATCCCATCAAACAAGAATTTGCTGCACTTTAGAGGTGCCAAGGCGTATTAAAACACAAAATACAGCCAAACGAGTTGCCCAACCACAGCGGGCAGACATTAATTGCCTTCGCCCCTTTTGGTGCTCGCGCAAAGTTTACGGAGGCCAATGCAGAGAGACTGGCACGAGCGCCAAGGCCGTGCCATCTGAGTCCGGGCCAAGTCGTGCCATCTCGGTCCGTGCGCAGACCACAAACAAGGGGGCCTCAAACAAGCAAACCGCGTATTCAATACACGCCACTTAGGAACAGGCTCGTTCACAATCCATGCAGCGAGCCACACCTTCTACGGTTTACAAGCGGCATGCCTCCTGTTGTACGCTCAATAACCGAGAGTATTGGATTTTCGGCGTTGATAACTTATCACGCAGCAAGCAGGCACAATTAAGGAACCGTTGAACTCACTGGGGCACGTTTATGGTCGCTTAACGGCAAGCTGTGCTAACACATCATGTTTTAGCTGGGAAATCAACCCCACTTTCTTTGTAAGCCCGTGGCTCAAAGCACAGCGACAGCCCCGTCTCAAGAGAGTTTGGTGGCCGAGCAATTTAACTGCGCATTAATTAAACTATATTCTCGAGGCTCACTTTATTCTTGAACGAAGTATGAAGAAGAGTCAGTCTCTTTGCGGTTACTTTTTTTTTAATAACCCATTGTGCCAAAACTGAGACTAAAATATACAATGCCAAGTCATTTTTAAAAATGATTAGAATTTCAGAGAAAGACCTTCCTACCGATGTGATTGGCTGATATCCTTGATTATACGTAGGCAGGCCTCCCTGGGGAAATAATAAATATACATATCTGTTTCACGAGAGAGAAGTGTGCAAATATTAACATCACATTCAAAATAATGCCATTATGTGTCACTGCAAAACCACAAAAAGGAACTGTTGCTTGTCCATGTTTAATAAACCATGGGTGCACCACTGGTGTTTACATAATGATGTGGAATAGCAGAACGTGCCCTTATGTTGAATAATCTCTGGCTGTGCCTCTTCCGTCACGCTGGACGCAGCGGCCAGTGTCGCTTCAGTTATTCAGAAATACAATGGCCTTTTCACCTG